TTGATGAGTTCACATATCTTATTCACTTTTAACAATCCACAATACTGTATGTGTTATAGAAAAAAGAAATCATTCTCTGTATATTTCTTGCATAAGTAAATTTACTTCCCATTATTTTTTCTCACCTTTCCATCCCTATACCCTTTCTTTCCTTTGTTCTTCCAAAAGCCACTATGGCTCCATACACTGATATCTGGATTATGCTTTTATAATTCTCCTTATCCATTCTTTTGCTGAGAAAATGGAACATATACTTCAAATGCATTCTATAAGAGAAGGGATGTTATGGGTAGAGATACAAGTCAATATTCCCTATGTTTAGCAAAGGAACTGTGTTGAAAGTTGTTGTTTCATCTAATCTAAAGACTATATTTAAACATCCTTATTACCAAAGATTTTAGAGACAGATCACAAGTCCTGGCAACTCTAATAAGCAAGGCTTTAGCACTTGCCCATAACAGATCAATTAAACAGACAAAAACTAACAAACAAAACAAACAAACAAAAAACCAAAAAGAAATGAAATGCAGGTAATACTATTTCTTCAATGTGACTATAGAGGGAAGAGGCATATAGAGTTCCAGCAAACCCCTTAAGTCTCAAGTCCATCTCCAGTGCCCTGAAATGAGATCAAAGCTTAAATGAAGAACCAGAGATATCACATCTAAGCAGTCTCAGGCAAAGTGTGGTCCTGTTCACATTGACTCATCATTGTCTGGGTTTCAGCTTCAACCTGTAAAATGGTCAACTGTTTGATATATCTTTCAGGGAAACAAGTTCCTCCTCTGGTTGGCATCCTTTCCATTTCCCAGGATGAGATTCCTTGGGAAATTCCCATTTCTTTGGGGGGGGTCCATTGTTTCAATAGTCTGATAGTCAGATTGAGAGATATACCTATCCTAGAATATCTTCATGTCTTCCAGGCCAGTTACAACATAAATAAGAGAAAGTCAGGCTATTGTCTTATTTGTCTACAGACAAGACTATGTAGTTTGGGGGCATAAATAAGCCTGATACACCTGGGTAATAGACAAACTGTGGGCCAGGACAGCAAAAGGGAAAGAGGAGGACATCAGGAGTCCACATCACATGTGGCTTTGCAGCTATAACCCAATCCCTATGTTGGCGATCAATGTTTTACCCTATGCTATCTATCCTTATACTAATAGGTAGTCCCTTCTTCCTAGTCATTAAGTTGTTCCTAGAATACCCCAACATTCTTGAACCGGGACAACAAAATATACACATCTTTACCTCTGCATTATGGAATCTTCTCCCTTAGGGATTATCTTTGTCCCTTGAAATCCAAGCATTTTGCACCTGAGGTAAAATGGAGCAGAACTTTTCCTGTGGCTTGGGATCATCAAATCATTAGCCTAATCTACATTGCCACTTTCATATAGCTAGAACCTTCAAGATTTTTTTCATGAGTTATACAAAATGATGTATGAGCCATTGAAAATCTGTCAAGTAGAAACCAATCAGAAGTACAACAAGATTATTGACTACTTATACTAGAAAATAAAATGTTCTTTTGCTCTTATTCCAGTCTAGGACTTTGACATTGGTAGTCACAGAGTTGTTTGCATTTCTCTATACATTATGCATTTATTTCTCTGTCTTCCTACCAAGGAAACACAGTCATACCAGTTTGACCTCTGTGTCCCACAATCAGTTGGCACAGCACCTCTAACTAAACAGACTTCTGGTAATCACAATACTGTACAAAACCCCTCTTACCAGGTATATTCCTAGAAAAGACATTATCTATTGAAAAAATTATAGGTACCGATGCCAGTATTTAATTGGTTTTGTTTCTCCCTGGTGCTGCAAGAGCTGGGCTTGAAAGTCTTTATCAAAATGGTAACTATGCATTTGGCATAATGTAGTAGTAAATGCTACCGATATAACAAATCATAAAAAAGATAATATGGAACAAATGCAATCAACATTTTCATTCAATAGGAACAATGTTAGGAATTGCCTCCAAAATCCATTTATCTTTTCCAGGTGGGTTTTACATATTAGAGAAATAGGATGGGACAGGACTATGTAGTTTTAAAAAAATCAAAAGAGACATTTTAATACATATCTGCTACTTCAGTTTTCATACAACTGGGACTCTGCCAAGGACTTTAAGTTTTTTAATGAGTGTCAGGCATGGGCTTAGTGTGTTAAAGGATCAGTGTTATCACAGTACACAGAAACCAAAGTAGCAGCACCAACCCTATGCCAGCACAGTTTAAATCAGGATCCAGTCTTATCAGGACTATGTAGCCAAACCCTGTTTCAAAAATATACACACAACTTAAAAGAGAAATGTATCAGTGATTGACGTTAGTGATCTGATTCATTAATCACAAAAGAAGGAAATCTTTAGCATATAGAGCCCTTAAAGAACACTATCAAGGGTAAGTGTCTTCAACTGCTCAGGAGTCATTCAAGTATCCAGAAATCTTACCATTTACCTCTTAAAAAACATTGTCTTGTTTGGTCTGTTCCACTCTGTCGGCCTGCTCATGTATGACAAGTCAAAGTGAATTAAAACATACAACTGAATTTGATATACATGTTTTCAGTGCACTTGATACAAGCAAGAGCTGTTAGTCCAGAGGAATGTTGCTGAATCTTATTTGCAAAGCCAAGGCATTCTGACTCTGTAACACCTTTCTTGAATTTTGAACTTCACTAGCTATCCTCCATGGGCAAATGTTAAGGATAAACTGATGCACGAAAAAGACTCATTTTGTCCAAGGCTGCTTCCACATCACTCTAGACAGTGAATGAGGTTTAACTCATCTCACTGCGCCCTACATGGCCTGCATTAGTCAGAAAATGGCTGTTGATTATTCTGAAATATGATCAGCAATGAGATCACAGGGGAACTTGAATATGAGCTGCCTTCCTACTCTGATTCAATAAAGGCCCATTTATTGTTCCTGTAAAATAATACAAAATGTTTGCTATATTTTATTCTTGCTTAGTTTAAGACTCGGGTTAGCAATTCATGTTTATATGTTTGTCCTTTCGTTCTTTAAAAAAAGAGAGAGAACTCTGAATTAATTATTTTCATCAAGGAATTGTGTGTGTGTGTATGTGTGTGTGTGTGTGTGTGTGTGTGTGTGTGTGTGTGTGTGTGTGTGTGCAGTGACCTTCATGGATAGCAAGAAGTCACTGACCCACTGTCAGGAAAACATGCTTTGTGAAGTGTTTTCCAGAAATCAGTGTTTTCCAGAGACACATTTGCACACATTGCTTCCCTCTTTCTCTTAGTGTCTCTTGTTAGCAGCAGAATACATTTTGTATGATAGCTGGAGGGGTGAAGATGCAGACCAAGGTCATGGACCTCAACATAGCCATCTTGCATGCACAGGGATGAAACCTGCAGCATTTGCCTCATTAGCTCCCTGTCCCCTACTGAGTTAACCAGCCATAGGCAATTGGAGAACTCTGAAGGTTAATTCTTTCTGCCCATAGGTAGAGTTACAGCTCAATGGACTAAGCCCTTCAAATGTTAACACTCCAAGCAAGAAATTTTAAGTGGTAAAAGTGGCAGGTAGTACAGAGAGGTTAAATGAATTGAAAATGAGTTTAAAGCAGACTTACTACTTCCCCTTGCCCCCAAGAGTTGCATAAAATAGTCTAAAACTTTTACAGAGATTATAACTTGAAACATGTTTCAACCATGTGATTGCCAGGAACTATTAAAATAAATAGCACAAATAGGGCAATTAAATATAGATGCTAACAGCTTCCAACCACAAAAGAGGAAATGAAGCAGCCTTGTTTTCCATCTAAAAACACCCAGGTGACATTATTTGGAATGAGTGCAAATGCTTGTTTTGAAAAGCTGTATATAGAAAAGACAAACAAAAACTGACAAATTAATATTATGTCTGCCCACAGGGGAGTCCTGTCCTAAGCTAGTGAGTCAGTGTGCTGCAATGTGCCTGTTTGATTACCTACACACCAGTTAAATAAGATACAACTAAGGACACAACCAGGCAGCCACCATCTGGGTATCATGCCTCTACTAGACACTGTGTAGGTCTCAGGTCACCCTTCAACAGGCACCTGAATCTCTTCTCCAGACACCTGTATCTTGATGGCACAGCATACAGTGAGAAGCCAGACAAGTCATTCTGGTGACATCTCACAGAGGAAATCATCAGTGGTAGAACAGAGTTGAATGCTATAGTCAGTGTGCTCATGGTGAATGAAAAATGAACCTCTGAGTGAGCTTGTCTGCTTGGAAAGAGAAAACCAGACAGTCATTTGCATAATTACAGATGAAGATAAAACTAGTAAGTCTTTGTCCATTAGCACTGAGGATACTGGTAAGGATTTGGAACTGTAAAAAAGTACATGATACATGATGACCCATTCAAAAAAGCCAGAGATAAAAAACGAGTCATTCAAAAATTACTCAGAATTATTATACATTGTTACATTTTCTCTTTTCCAGAAATCTTGATCGGTTCTTCACTCTTTTCTTCCCAGTTCTTCACTCGGGAAGCAAATATACAATAACCAAAAGTCCAGAGAAAGATTTTCAGTTGAGGGGCCTGTCTAGTTAGCCTTGCCCAGTGTCATAGCGTCACTACACTGATATTGGAAACAAGGAAATAGCAGCCATGGTTTAAAGTTCACAAGATATCTTGTGGTAGACCAATACAAGCAACTTCTTTAGGGAAGGCATAAAAACATTTGGGGGCAATAGTTATATAATGACATTACAGAATACAATATAAGCGACAATGAGACAAATTATTTTGAAGGAAAAGTGTTTTACCTATTCTGGTTGCTTCTGGGATTCAGATATGAAACTGTGTAGCATCCTTAGAATTATGGTGCTGAAAGCCTCCTTTAAGATCAAGAATGTGTCAGGATGTAAAGAAATGTTGCAAATATTTATATGATGTAACTATTCCAAATAGGTGTTGTTGCAAAGTACATCCTCATGTATCAATACTAAACTTTTTATCTAATTTAATTTACAGAACTTCTTTCAGATAGTTAGCAACCTTCTAGATGAAGAAAACAAGGAGAAATGGGAAGATGCACAGCAGGTAAGGTTGAGGTTATTTATGATGAAGCTGGCTAGATACAGTTTTTACAATACATGAAATGTTTGATTCTCCAAGAGTACAAAAGGATTTTGGAAATCATTCTAAATGACAAAACAGTAATTTTACAGAAATCAAGTCAACTTTTAAAATATCAGCCCATGGGAGGAATTCTGTGTGAACACACAGAAAAAATGCATGTTGAGCTAATCTATAACTTCAGAAACCAATATATGACAGATTTGTACTTCAGCAATAGACTTCTTTCTGGTTTGTAGACAATGGGAAAACAAGACAATCTAATAGCATACAACTCAATAGAAGTGTTGTGCTATTAACTAATGGAAAAACCAATTGCAAAGAATTCATGCTTCATGGAATCTTCCTATAGTATACAGATGTAAATACTCAGAAAAGAGTTGTGAACATAAACTCCCTTGCCTAAGCATGTTCAAACTTTCCTTTCTGCCACCGTGTATCAATTATCAAGCTCCCGCTCCTGTAGTGACTTAGGTCCTGTGAAATTGCCTTGTCCTGTCATCCTATCCTAACTCTAAAACCTTTCTCCTAAAACAGGAAAGGTACTTTCTAGGTGACCACAGGGGAAGCATAGATTTTAAATTACCATGGGAATTTAGTGTAAGTGAGCATGGAACTTTCTTTAAGTTTTTTATTTGACTCTAGAAAAAAACAAAAAACAAAAAACAAAAAACAAGATCAAGGCTTTCTTGAAAAAGAGAACTTTTACTGATGTTCAGATAAACCATCTAGTCCCTTTCTCTTTTATAATCACAGTTGAAGCTTCCGAAGTGAAGCATGCCCTTTATTCCAGTTATGATAGGATAGCCACAAATGGCACAGCATGACAAGCATCGCTAGCAGGTACCAACTCTGTGCTTCTGCCCAATGCAAGAGGGAGAAAAAATATATTACCTTTTAGTTTTAAACCTTGGTCTATCTTTTCCTTCTCCTTTGAATTATATACTTGTCCTTGGCCTTCATCTAGAGGGCAGTATTGTTCCCTAACTGTAAGGAAGTGGTGTCTTCACCCAGAATACAGCTGTTGTAGCAGAGCATATCTTTCTAGAAAGCTAGAGACTATTAATTATGGATATATTTAGAATGAATGTATGATACTCTATTTAAAACAAGCCTGCAATTCATCACATGGTGTCTTTAGCAGGGGGTCACAACTTGAGCAAATAATGAATGGTATCAGGCATTCTCATCAATGGAAAAATCAGGAATCCATAATCTGTTTAGTTGTGATTTGAGATTGGTTCTGTTCTCATTTGTAAAATGTATTTTTCAATTGGAATGATTCTTAATGATGTTTTTTAAATGACTGTTTGAAAATTTTAAAAGCAGCTGTTTTGTAGCCTTTACTGAAAAAAAAAAATGGTTATAATTACAGCCATGTGGTAAGCATGTGTGGCCCAAAAGGTGACTTCTTTAAAATAAAGGGGTTTAAAGTCTACCAGAAATAATCTTTCTGATCCCTCTTTATCTCTGAGAATAGACATAACAAAAATAACGTTGAAAATAGATCTTTATGTGAATTTAGAAAACGAAATGTGTAACTCTGATATCAGAATCTTGCAAACAGGATATACATTTCTAAAAAACACAGCCACCTGGAACCCCCTGGTTATCTATCAACCCCAGTTAAAAAACAATCCAACTGTACTTAGATAAAGACCCCGTCCTGAAAATATAGCCTCTTGAAGTGAAAGAAGAATGTACATTATAACAACATACCACACCCACACAGGTACACACACACACACACACACACACACACACACACACATGGCAGGTGTTGGCAGTGAAGTTAAGTCATGTAATTTTTTTTCTAAACTTCATATTAGAAACTTCTGTCTCATGTCCCTGCCTCAGGAGAGTACAAATTGCATCTAATTAACCAAATCCAGCCAATGTCTATTATGTAAACAACATTGTTCATCACCTACTACCAATTGCTGCTCTGCAACAAGGAGAGAAGGGACTTGTATCACTAGAGTTCCCATAATATGAAATGTATAAAATACTTATGATTAGATCCTTATCAAAAAAGCTGACCAGCCCCTGTTCTATAATATTTGATGGCTTTTGAAAAATAATAATTAAAAACAAGACCCTCTGCCAACATGAAAATGCATTCAACAAAGATGGAAGAGAATGGCAAGCTTAGTGCTGAACAAGCAGGAAGTTAGAGGTCACACATACTACAAGCAGCCATAGAGACTGGAGCTCCTGCACCCTTTAGAGAGCCATAAGGTACAGCACCACATGTCTCTTCAAGCTACAGAGTAACTGGCCCTGCGGTAGGGACCTTCACATGCCTTTTGTCATACATATATCATTATAAAATCCCTTGGAAATTGGGCCATCTATCTTCTTGTTAATTGGCTTTCTCCAAAGGAAAATAGCTTCAGATAGCCTGTCAAATAGAGACAGTTTTGAAACTTGAAGGCCAAGTTCATGTGGCCATTGATTTAGGCCCCCATAATCTCAAAAGACACTGCAGGCCAGAAAAACCATCTTCCTTGATGCCTTCATTTCAAAGAGGAAATTACTGTATCTTTAAGATGGCAGGAAGCCTTTTCAGTTTAAAAAGACTTACAAATATTTTAAAGAGACTGAATGAGCCTTGCCATACTAGTTTTCTAAAGTAAATACTTTAAGAAAAATGAAAGTAAGGGAGATGGAGATGCTGTTTCTGAGAGCGAAAATTAAGCCTCTTGTTCTTAATTTGCATTCATCCCTATACCAAACAATACTCACAAACAGGCCTTATACAGGAAAGTAAACAGGGTACAATTGAATCAGGAAGCTTTAGAGCCCATAGGAACTTCATTCATTCCTGTCTAATGGGAATTAAGACTTTTCAGAATTCCCATTTAATGAATTGATCTCTTAAAATGTTCTGATATTGAATATTGCAGTTTTCTGTGGAATATGTGTATGTGTAGGTAGATACATGAATTTTGTGTACATGTAGTGTTGATTTTTAGATGAAACAGCCATAGCCCTCTGTGAACTACACATATAGACTTACAGTCTGCCCTGTTGATCCCCTTTCTTTCTAGTCAATTCCCTTACCTCTCTTGCCACGTGGTATGGAGCCAACCAGGTATTTTCCTCTCCCACTCTGGCATCTACAAAATAAAGTAACTGAAACTCAAGCAGTGATGCAAATGCTTGCACGTGATACGATGCATCTATGTTCTTGTGTCTTTGTTGTTGCAAAGGTTATGAGCATTTGGCAGAGTATGGTATCTTTGAGAAAACAGATACTTTTCTGCATACCATTGTGTTGGCTAACACACTCAAAGCTTATAAGTAAACTGATTTGCTGGTAGGTAGATGCATAGGTAACAAGATAGATAAATAGAAAATGCAGGTCCAGAAATAGATGAGAGAATGGGTAGATCCTGCCTCCATTACTAGCAGACTTGCATAATGCCCTCAGCTACATTGTTAGCCTACTTGAGATTCTATTTTTTGCCTACAATAAGGATAACACTCTCTATGGGTTTGTTTCTCTCATGTATACATGTAAATTATTTATATTATAGCTATGATTACAATCCTATACTTATTGCTAATGTTGGCCCTACAATTACTTGTGCAATTACTATAAGTAAGTGTTTCTGACAAGGTATTGACTATACAATAGATTTGCTATTTTTAAATATCTTTATGATAGCAGTAATACTTGTATTTTTCTTCTCTTGTTCTTCATATAGATATTAATCTAAAAATGCTAGGTCTGGTTTCATTGTTTTACTATTTAAGTCAGGGAGTTATGAAAAATAAAATTATGTTATTTGTGTGTAGACAATCTAATAGACATTTTAAATTTTCTTGAGCTTTTAGAGTGATTAATTAGTGTATCATGTCACTTCCAAAGCTCTTGCTGTGTGACACCTGGTATCAGAATCAACTATTAATTTAAAAGCTAATGGATGATTCCAGTTGCAGACATTTCAGCAAATAAAGCAGAGTTCATTTGTGATTTTTATTATGCAGAATGTCTTACTTTCTAGTTCTGTATTACACTTTATGGACTTTTCATCAAGTCTAACTTGCACTTATTTTTCTAGATTTACCCAGGCTCAATAGAGTTAATGCAGGTGATAGAAGATTTTATACACATTGTTGGAATGGGGATGATGGACTTTCAAAATTCATACCTAATGACTGGAAATGTAGGTAAGAAGTAGGAGTATTCCTCAAAATTTTACTGAAATTAAATGCCAGAATTTACACCACACGTTTTCAAGTGTAATCTTTACGTTCCTGTTTTTAGACATATGTGAATGAGTACATTGTGGAAATTTAATGGCTGTGTTTTGTTTAGAACAGGCCCCGTGAACCTTAAGTGTGTATGTCTGTTTAAATACATACTTTTACATGATTTTCCTTAGGGAGAGATAAGAAAACATCTGTTCACCCAAGGTAGGGTGCTAACTGCAGAACAAAACAATATTATTTTACCAAAATCCAATTTGTGGAATGAAAGTGTTTCCTAGATCTGTGTCTAAGAGTCTGCATAAGGGATTACTTAAAAAAATCCTGGGTAATACGAAGGCTGCTGCATCACTGAGTGACCTACCCCTGCATAGATGACAACTTAGGATAGCAGCTCGCCTAGAGCTTCCTATCCAAACTGTAGGCAATTCCATCCAAAAGTCTCCTATCTCTCCCCAATTGTTTGCTTAATGAACATAACCTGAAGGGCCTCTTGAATCTTGTTGCTTCCTCAGCTTCCTGAGTATTATAACTGTTATATTAGCTACCTCAATCTTATAATCTCCCTTCTTCCCTCACTTCTCACCCCTCCTTTACCCTCCCTCTTCTCTCCTCTCTCCATGAAGGCAAGTTTTAATGTAACACAAATGCCTACTTAAAATTTCTTCCCCTGGCTCTTATATTGTTTCTATCCCCTCCTCCATGATGCTCTCTGAATCTACCACACTTTGAGGTCCTTATAATTATTTGAACAATAGAAACAATTTTGCATTTGGGTTATTTGGATATCTAATCCTTTTTCCCCATTTTGAGTAAGCATGGAACCACTAGGCCACAATAATCATTTATTGTCAGCATCTTAGATAGCTGATTGTCTGTAGTAACCACCACCAACTGGAAAGAGTAAGTTTCCTTCCAAAGGCAATGGGTTTCTGTATCAGTTCCAACCTTATTTCCCCATGCCATAAAAGGAAATAGCAATAAGAACTTGCAATGTAACTCTGCTATGCAACCAACATTCATCTCAATAGCTTTTACGGCTTATGGGGCTTCAGGGGAGGCAAGATACTGCTAGGAGTGAGATCTTCCCTCAGTAACCCCATGGCTCCTGTGAGTAGCATTTTCCAACAACACAGTGTGTCTTTTTTCAGACTCTTCAGCTTTTGTCTTTACTGTTATTCTCAGCTGTTCCAAATTTGTAAAACACTCACAGGTTGGCATTATATAATAAAATGATTTATAGAGTGCGGGCAGGTTCTCAGATTGACCACTGTCATTTTAAACAAATGTCAATGGGCTTGGGGATTTGGAAGGGAGAAGGTAAAAAAAGAAATTCTAGATCCAATGAAGCATCACTTATACTGACTGTTTTATCAGAAGAGCAACGTTAGACACAGTGGTGTAGATGAGGACACCATTCCATCTAAGCCTCCCTGATTCACAGTCACTTTCTACTAACAACCCCTCAGCTGTATCATTCTGGAGCACAACTGTGTTGCTGTGACTTATCTTTCCACTCACGAGGGTCATGGCAGGGCTGGGTCATACTGCTTGGCATACTCGGGACTAAGTGGGAGAAAAGCTATGATCTAGCTTGTTCCTCCCACAGCTGGACCTGTATCCATGAGTCTGAAAGACTCCAGGCATTTCACCATGGCTGTAAACTGTCCATCAACTACATTGGCAGCTAAAATGTCCCTTTCAAACATCCACCTTAAATTTATTTTCTACAAGGGGACTCCAGCTCAATAGAAATCTTGTAATATTTACTTTTAAGTAAATTTGATAGGACCTATTGTCTGTTTTTCCTTTTATACCTTTATATTTTTTTCATCTATTCCTCAGTGCTTTGGTGCCTTAGAAACTCAGTTAATATGCCAGTCTAAATCTTGCAGGTATTCTAGAGACTCCTCTACCTTACATAAAGTTCAGTCCCCATCATGGTATTTAGCAAAGCCAATGAAGTACCATGAGAGCCTTAAGGGCCCTGATGAATTAATTTCTTTATTTTTCTAAGACCACATTTCTATCAGGCCCAGTGAGCTGGGCATCAAACACCCCCTGTCAAATGCACATTTTCCTCGCTAATGTTTTCCTGTTATCATCTCATCCCTAGTACTCTTGGTGACCTAAGATAGCAATAGCTAACTGTCCCTGATGGCTTTTATGAGCCTGTCTGTCAGGGACTAATTTCCTCCATACTGCCATTGATTATTCAGCCTTTGTTTCAGGGAGGCATGAGTAGTTAGTTGAATTATTCAGTTTCTCTACTCCATGGCACTCAGACAGATCCCATCTGCATCTAAGTCCCACAATCACATGAGCCAAACTTTAAAAACATCCATTTCTTGTTCAAATGCCTTTCACAATCCAAAAAATTACCATGGCTTCCTAAACTAGACTATTAGTAAGGCCCAGCTCTGACCATTAGATCATGAATTTTCCCTTTCTGTATCAAAGGTCAGACTTAAGAGATATTGTCTATCACTTTTATCTCCATCTCTATCTGGGTCTTTCCAAGGTTCTATGTTTAGGGATCCCACAAAGGACTCTTTAGCACAGAGATAACTTGTACTTCTTAACCCTTATAGATAGCTGACTGTAGGAAACAGCGAGCCACCACTTCCATCTCATTCTCTGGTTTCTCTATTCTTCTTTCTGAATAGAGACTAGTGCAGAAACAGTATCTCCATGTGTGCTTCCTGTCACGTGGGAATCACTAGGCTCAGTACAGGTTAAATAGGGTTTATTCAGAGAGATTATACTAGCACAAGAAGCTGCTACAGGCCTCAGCTCCAAGGATCCTCCAAAGCTGTTTCCTGAGACCCAGCCATGCACTTATGCACCACAGGTGCATAGTTAGATCTCTCTCTCTACAGTTTCCCATCTGCTCTTTCTTCCTTGTGTACATAAGTCCTTTCTAGGCAGAAATGTGAACCTACATTACAGATGTCTTCTATCACCCAGAGAAAGGGCTGTGTGATTGCCACCGCAACCTGCTGATAATCCCATCTCCTATATGGTATCTCCAGGGATGACAATATATTTTCTAGTTTATAGGCCATTTGGAGGACATCCCTGTCACCCAGTGAAAAGCACAATACCACATAGAACAAGATAACCACCACACCATGGGATCTGCCCATCTCGGGCTGCACTACTTTCAGGTACCTTAGTATATGCCAGTTGAATACAAAACCATGGCAAGAGGCACGTAACAGTCAACTAAAGCAAGAACATAAACACATGAGGAAAGGTAGCCATTTTGGAATTGTCCCTGAACATTTCAGTCTCAGGTACTTTATCACCTGGCTTAGGAGGCATGCAACTGTTGCTCTTCCCAAAGACATCTTTGGTTCTGTGATTCCTTGTTCAGACTGCACTTGTGTTGTGCAGCTTTTCCTGCAGACACGTGGACAAGTGTCTGTTGAACTGAGATAGGGTGCCAATGATGGGCTTAAAAACTGTTGCACAGAGGTACAGCTTGGTGAACCAGTATGTTTACTGGGAGTGATGATATATTATTTTGATCTAATAAAGCTTGCCTGGAGATCAGAATGCAACGCTAGCCACAGCCATAGAGGCCAGGCAGTGGAGGCATACACCTTTAACCCCAGAATTCAGGAGATAGAGACAGATGTATCTCTATGACTGCAAGGCCACCCAGGGTTACATGAGAGTAAATCAGTCTAAAAGGGAAACAGAGCTCACACCTTTAATCCCAGCACTAGAGAGGTATATAAGACAGGAGTAGGGTCTCAGACCTGACATTCAGTCTCAGGGCAAATAGTCCCTAGCCACATTGAGGATAGGCTCTCCCCAGCCTTGGTAGAGGTAAGAGCTCTCTGGTGGCTTGGCTGCTTTGCTTCTCTGATCTTCAGCTTGAACCTCAATATCTGTCTCTAGGTTTATATTATTCATGCTGCAACTGGGCTTACTTACAAGAATGGGGGTAAGCAATTATTTGGTTATTTAGAGGATCATCAAAGGCAGCTGTATTACTGAGAACCCTACCACATTTGATTAAAACTCATGAAAGGTATATTCCTGGAACTATACAAAAACAGCAGGTGCCTCCAAGGAAGAACTTGCCTTCCTGCAGCAAATGTCTATGGCATATATAACCTTGTACAGAGATGTTTAAGAATTGTAGCCTTCAATATCCTGAGTCTTTAAAGTCTTTGAACTTCTTTAGCCTTGTAAGTTTCATTGTCTTCCTGAGTTTTATAATAGTCCCTCTTCCACCCAGGAGTGAATATTTTAGTATAATTGAAGCAGACAGCACACACTTATATGGATATCACACACAAACACACACACACACACACACACACACACACACAGAGAGAGAGAGAGAGAGAGAGAGAGAGAGAGAGAGAGAGAGATTCTTCCTGCTGCATGCACTTGTATTACTGTCCATAGGCCTACAGTGTGTTTTTGTCCGTTTTCCTGTAAAGACTAATGTATGATTATTTTTACATTTACTAAGTGTCTTTTGTTATCTATCAAATATGATTTAGAATATTATATATCAGTGATTTTGAGAAAAAACGAAGCTTCATTATCATCTACTCATTGTTCATAGGCTATTGAATTTCTTTCACACTAATTATTCTGAACATGTGTTAGATTCATATGGAACACTTCAGAATATAGGACACATTGATATGCTACTGTGGTAGTTTTCTGAAACACCTTCCAGGACACAATGGAAACAAGGGATTGCTCAGATCCCTGTAGTGGATTCTAAAATGATAAACACACACACACACACACACACACACACACACACACAAAGACAAAACAAGAAAAAACATATTTAGTTGCTGATACTGTAGCATTGCATGAGATTCTGTAGAGGAACCAAACCCACACACGATGTTTTCTACTTAGCCAAGAGTAATCATATTATGCAAATGTCATATTTCTTTTTGCAGATGAGAATTATAAAGAATAAAGAA